TTTTTCCTTTAGGTATATATCTATGATACAATTTAATTTCTAAATTAGGTGCAGTAAGAGTTTAACAATAATAAAATATAACAATATAATAAAAGTTGTTTTAAACTTAAAATTGTTTATTTCTGGAATTTTCCGTTTAGTATTTTCAGACCATGATTGACAGCTGGCAGCTGAAACTGGGGAGAGTCAAGCCATAGCTAAGGGAGGTCTGTTGTTATTATTAAAACCGGAATTCTCTCAGCCGATTGCTAAATTCCCAAATGGTTATTTTCTAGTTTGAGTTCAAAGCCACTTTATTTATGTTTTTGTCTTGTTTTGAGATAGGGTCTCACTATGCAACTCTTGCTGACCTGGAATATTATGTAGACAAAGTTGTCTTAAATTCACGAGAGATGCACCCGCCTCTGCCTCCCGAGGGCGGGGATTACAGTCATGTGCCACTCTACCTGGCGCACAGTCAGGTTCTTCTGATGAAGGACTGACGGCCCCCAGGGAGCTCTACAGCTTCTGAAAGGGAAGGGCCTGCTCTCCGTCACCTACTGCTTCTTATAGTGTCTCCTCTTTAAAGGGAGGGTGGTGGTAGACTGAATTCTTTATCATGAATTAATGTAGATTTCTGTATGTGTGTTTGTTTTTTAAGATAGGGTCTTTGTAATCCTGACTGTCCTGAAACTTGCTAGATAGACCAGGCTGTCCTCAAACTGGCAGAGACCCTTCTGCCCCTGCCTCCCGAGGGCTGGAGTCAGAGGCGCACCACCAATCCCAGCACGAGTTAATGCTCTTTGCTTGGTTCACAGTGCTCTCTGTTTCACCAGGGGATGACTCCACCCCCGGGCTCTCCCAGTCCTCTCCTATGCCTATTCTCAAACTTCCTCCATGGATAGGAAGTTGTGCCACCCTTTCAGCCATCTATACGTGGTGTTTTTCTTTTTATTAGAAAGGGGTAACATGCCTTCAATATCCCTCTTCACTCTTTAGTACAAAATGTTTCCCCCTCACCTGCTTCTTACACAGCATTCTTTCCTTTTCCTGATTTTTATCTCTAGAAGTCCAGACTGATTCAAGCCTCAGAACTTCAGGCATCAGAGCAACATTTGGCTTTTTCTTCACAGCTTAAGAAAGTGCTTGCTCAGAAAGTTTAAGAGTCTGGACCTAGCCAAGCAAGCTGTCCCTGTCCTGTCTTCTGCCCACACTTGCCAGCTGGCTGCTCCAATTTCCCCTGGTGATCTCTTAAGACTCCAGGCTTGAATGACCATTTATAGGCTGAAAACCTCTCCTCTCCAGCCCCAGGCTGGTCTGTCTTCTTACCTGGTTCCCTCTGGAAATGGCAACCTGTGCGGTGTCTGAACCTTGGGTCCCCCGGGGCCTTTAATCGGAGGAGAGACAAGCAGACCTCACTAAACCCCAGTCATTTTCAGTCCTCATCCCTCGAGGCCAGTCTGTTGCTATCTCCCATCTCAAACTGTAAAGTGATAAAGAAACCAACATCCCACTGGCTCCGCTTCTCCTGAGCTTAGCTAGGCCAGCTGGCCTTCAGTCAGATGAGTGCAGTGCCTCTGCTCACCAGGCTCCGGCTTCTGTCCTTTCTCTTCCGTCTTCCGTCCATTCGGGTTCCCAAAGTGTGCCTTCGCTTTCCTGATGGAAAACCCTTTATAGTGGTTCTCTAACTCATTCACATTAAAAGCCGAGGTCCGCCCTGTGGCCCGGGGCCTGAAGTAAGAAGTCCTCCTGTTTCCCTTCTGATAACTTCTCCTATCGCAAGTGTCTTCTTCCGCTGCATTCCAACACTCCCAGCGGCCTGACCCATTCCTCCTGTCAGCAGGATGGTAGGCAAGCCCTGTCCCTGCTACATTGCCAGCACGGGGGTTTTGAGACAGGGTCTCCACATGGAGCCCAGGCTGGCCTGGATCTCCTGATCCTCCTGTCTCACCTCCACAGGGCTGGTATCACAAGCCACCTAGCACTTTTTATTTGATGTCAGATCCCCAGAGCCTCTAACTCGAGGACCTGGGCCGTGGTCAATAGATGTAACGAATTAATACAAGTAACTGTAAAGCCACCGGCGCTGTAACGTTTGAAGTCGTGAAAGGCGCACGATCCCGGAGGCGGGCACCGTTGCCCGTTTCACCGACGGAGGAACTGAGGCTCCAAGAATTAGCAGCGTGCGGGAGCCCGCGGTTCCCCCCGGGGCCTCTTAAGGCTGACCTGTCCTCCCTCTCCCTGCAGGTTGCCAGCCAGATGCCAGCGCCGTCGGCCGACCCGGCGCGCCCCCACGCGTGCCCGGACTGCGGCCGCGCCTTTGCGCGCCGCTCCACCCTAGCCAAGCACGCGCGCACGCACACGGGCGAGCGCCCCTTCGCGTGCACCGAGTGCGGCCGCTGCTTCTCGCAGAAGTCGGCGCTGACCAAGCACGGCCGCACGCACACGGGCGAGCGACCCTACCAGTGCCCGGAGTGCGACAAGCGCTTCTCGGCCGCCTCGAACCTGCGGCAGCACCGGCGGCGGCACACGGGCGAGAAGCCGTACGCCTGCGCGCACTGCGGCCGGCGCTTCGCGCAGAGCTCCAACTACGCGCAGCACCTGCGCGTGCACACGGGCGAGAAGCCCTACGCGTGCCCGGACTGCGGACGAGCCTTCGGCGGAAGTTCGTGCCTGGCGCGCCATCGGCGCACGCACACGGGCGAGCGCCCGTACGCATGCGCCGACTGCGGCACGCGCTTCGCCCAGAGCTCGGCGCTGGCCAAGCACCGGCGCGTGCACACGGGCGAGAAGCCGCACCGCTGCGCCGTGTGCGGCCGGCGCTTCGGCCACCGCTCTAACCTGGCGGAGCACGCGCGCACGCATACGGGCGAGCGGCCCTACCCGTGCACGGAGTGCGGCCGGCGCTTCCGCCTCAGCTCGCACTTCATCCGCCACCGGCGCGCGCACATGCGGCGCCGCCTCTACATCTGCGCGGGCTGCGGCCGAGACTTCAAGCTCCCCGCCAGTGCCACAGCCGCCACGCCCACCGAGCGCTGCCCGGAGTGCGAGGGCAGCTGAGCCACGGCGGGGCAGCGGAGGGCGCCTGGGGCTCGCACCCGGACGGCTCCTTCCTCGCCCGCACCTTGGTCGGGGCGCTCCAGGACTGGGCGACAGGGAGTGCCCTGCCGGGGTCCCCGGAAACCGTGCCCCGTCCCCAGCCACATTCCCTTGGCCCTTCTGAGTGAATAAAGTATTCTATCCTCACCTCACGGTGCGTCTAAGTGAGGTGGGTGGGAAGGGGGAGGACAGGCACTGTGGAAGCAAGTGGCCTAAAGGGGTCCCTGCGATCCGGGGAACCACACACCCGGCTGGCCCTGCCTCAATCCCGAGCCGTAAACAGGATGTGCTCTGACGAGACTGCTCGCAGCCTTTGGGGCTCACTACGGCAAGGAGAGAGGAACGAGGCTGTGTGAATAGATTTATGTAGGTATAAAGCTCCCCATTTAGTTAGGGTCTCAATATAGGACCCTAAACTGACACAGGACTCGCTACATACGCCAGGCTGGTGTTGAACTTTCGGGGACCCTCTTCCCGCTTCCTGAATCCTGAGGTTACAGATGTGCGCCCCACAGCTAGCTCCGCAGACAGTAAGTGGCACAGCAGGGGCAAGGAAACTGGCGATCAAAAGGTCGCAATCCAGTGTTCACCAGAACTGTGATGGGTTGGCTAGACAGTGACTCTTCTCCAGTATTTAAACAAAAGTATTCAGACTTGCAGGGGATCTGGGTTCCATCGCAAGCACACACACGGTGGCTTAACCTGTTCTAGGGGATCCAAAGCCCTCTGACTTCCACAGGCACTGACACGGTGCACAGACACACAGGCAAAGCATACATACACATAAACTTGTGTCGTTCTGCCTCAACTGCTTTAATGGGATCACAGGTGTTCTAGGCATGCAACACCACGCCCCAAAGGGAGGGGCTACTGTGCGCCATGGTGTGAGCGTGTGTGTATGGGGGTCAGAGGACAACTTTCAGGAACTGGTTTTCTTCTTCCACCATGTGGACCTCAGGGATAGAGTTCAGGTCGTTGGGCTTGATGGCAAATACTTTACCTGATGAGCCATCTCATAAACCTGGAAGTCCTGGCTTTGTTTTTAAATTATGAGTGTGTGGCTTTGTGGGTGCTTGAGTGCAGGTGTCTACGGCGTCCAGAAGAGGCATCTGGAGCTACAGAGATGTGTAAGCTGCTTTGATGTGCCTAGGCAACACGACTTCTGTCCTATACATTACGTGCTGAGGGAGGTGATGCTCACCTTTCACCTCAGCACCTAGGAGGCAGGTGGATCTCTATGAGCCCAAGACCAGCCTGGTCTAGGTAGCAAACTCCAGGCCGGCCAACAATACAGAGACCTTTTCTCAATAAACAAAAAGACAAAACAAAACAAAATCAGCAATTACACTTCACTTGCTGAGCAATCTCTCCAGCTCCTCAAGATTTATCTAGCTGGGCAGTGGTGGCGCGCACTTTTAATCCCAGCACTCAGGAGGCAGAGGCAGGTGGATCTGAGTTTGAGGCCAAGCTGGTCTACAGACCTCGTTCCAGGACAGCCAGGACTAAACAAAGAAACCTTGTCTTGAACCATGACAGACACCCTCACCCTGGAAAACAAAAACAAAACAAAAAAAATTAGATGTAGAAAAATTTAGGAGCCAGAGCTCCAAAGACAAATGAGGGGGCTACAGGAGGTATGATTAAATACAAGGAATAAAGGAGAGGGAATAAAATTAAATGTTACTGCATTAAGAATGTTTGGGAATAAAAGCTAAAACATTTTTAATCTGCTGAATTGTCTTACCTGGGAAGGCAAGAAGGGTCAGAGAAGAGGGGCGGGTAATCGCTCCCACCGGGCTCTTGCATTACCCTCTCTGGGGAAGGCAGGCCTACGGGTCTCAGGGGCATGATGTTACCACACACCACAGAAACTGTTCACTCGATACCATCTAGCTAGAGAGGAAGAACAGAAAATGGCCAGGTGAGAGGTAGGTGACCTTTACTTGTACCAAGGGACCAAGAGGAACGGAAGCTGTATTCTGCACTCATCAGAGATTTGTGGCCCATCTTTACTTCCTGTTCTCTGCTTTTGTACGCTTCAAGTTGAAAAGGCAGAAGATCAGCTACTAGTTGCACCAGGAAGAGCCTTCTTCTCGGCAGGACTTGAGATATCCTCTCTAGCTACTTTAGAGACATCTAGGAGTTGTTGCCTTAAGTCATTTTATTGAGAGAAAAAACCTGTTGGGCCTCAGACACGTCGTTTAATAAGAGCAGATTAGAACAAGTCCATCTCTGCTGCTGAGACACTGTGTTTCTAGGTGGAGGCCTGGTTTCTCAACTCAGGGGCAGGATCAGCAGAGTCCACAGCCTGGCTTTCAGGGATGGTCCCACGAGGCAAGTCTGTGTACTTGCAGGCAGAGCCTCGGGACAGATGGACTGGGTACCGTCGGCGGTTGGTGTCCATTTTGGAGATCACTGCTTGAGGCAAATCCACACGACAGCGGGCTGCCAGGGCAACGAGGTAGATGAGGACGTCGCTGAGCTCCTCCTGAAGGGCTGCTCGTTCCTTTGGTGGCCATGCTTGAGGACCAGGCTCTGCATCAGACTTCCACTGACTAGAAGGAGAACAGGACTTGCTAGTTTGCTAGTTCAGTGGGCCTGTCAACCACGGCCCAGAAAATCCAAGGAAAATCTACCTGACTGGGCTCTGGGTGTGGAGGAGACTTTAACAGAAAACAGCCAGACCCCTGTGGCTCTACCTAAACCAAGGAGTGACCAAAGAACACTTACTCAGACATTCTGAGGTTCAATTTGACTTTTTACTAACCCTGGCTGCTGCCATTCCAAACCAAACCCTAGACCTGAGTCAGTGCAGAAATTCACATTCACCCACTTCTTTTCCTCCTAAAGCCACTGTTACCTTTCCTGTTTGTGACTGCTGTCTTCCACCATGAGCACTGGGCCCATGGCCCTAGATTTAGGTCTCAGTTCAGAGGTTACCACCTCAGAAATGCTTACTTTCTCATCTCCTTGTGTTACTCCCTCCCTTCCACACCCAAGATAGGTTCTTCAATAGCTCAGGCTGGTTTCAGATTCTCCACATGGCTGAGGACAAACATCTAATTCACCTGGGCCTCTCAAGTGCTGGGATTACAGCACGTACCACATTTGACTTTATTTTCTCTTTAACCCTCGTCACAGTTTCAGAGCATTTAAAATTAGCGCATGTATTAGCAGTCCCCTTCCATCAGGAATGGAGGCAGCCTGGTCCAAGGCTCCATCTTATTCAGTTCCAGATGACCTAAGGCACAACGGATGCTAATTCATCTGTGAGAAAGGAATGGCCTGCCCTCAGACACATTTTTTCATCCCTACAATGGCTGCCTAGATTTAGATCAGACCAGCCTGCTCTACTTCATTCTCTCTCAGGTGTCTAACCCGCCCTGCAGGCGCAGAGACCTTTCTGCCACTCAGGTTGGATCAGGCCTTCTGCCTGAACTCCATCACCTTCTATCTTATCCGCCTGGGTTTGCCCCTACCCTTGTCTTCTAGAGTTCCATCTTCTACAATGTGCTTATGATGGGCCAGACACCTGATGCCCACAGAGAACAAAAACAGATACAAAATCCTTCATCTTTCTTGGGAAAGCTAATGTTGAATTGGATTCCCAGAATTTAACTTACTCTTTCTCACCTCACTACTATTTTTTTTTTTTTTTTAAAGGATTTATGGGGCTGGAGAGATGGCTCAGATGTTAAGAGCACTAGCTGCTTTTCCACTGGTCCTGAGTTCAATTCCCAGCATCCACATGGTGGCTCATAACCATCTATAGTGAGATCTGGTACCCTCTTCTGGTATGTAGGCAGAACACTGTAAACATAAAAAAAAATAAACCTTAAAAAATTTATTTATTCTCCGGGTATATGCAAGCTATGTGTCTGCATGTGTACTGCATATATGCAGGAACCTCCGAGGCCAGAAGACAGCGTCAGATCCCCTGAAACTGCAGTTACGGGAGGCTGTAACCTGTTATGTGGGGTCTGGGAACTGAATTCAGCTCTTCAGCAAGAGCAAGAAGTGCTCTTCAGCACTGAGACATCTCAGCAGCTCCCTCACTGCCTTTGTAAACCCAAGTTCCCTGTCTGACAGGCCACTGGGCAAGTCATCTTTGGAAATTCCTTATTTTGAGCTCCACACAGGTAAAACGCTGGTGACAACTGTCCCCATCCCTGTTTTTTGTTTTTTCTCTTTGAGACAGGGTTTCTCTGTGTCACCCTAAGTGTCCTGAAACACACTCTGTAGAGCTGGCTGGCCTCCAACTTACAGATCCACCCGCCTCTGCCTCCCAGGCGCTGAGATTAAAGGTGTACACCACCACTTCTTAGACCGAGGTATGTCTGTTTCTGCACTTTCCTTTCCTCCCCAGAAACTCTTCCCATCACCCTACAGAGCTGGGACCCGTTTGTCATCTCTGTATCCCAAACAGCAGCACAGGATACAGCCGTAAGAAAAAGAGGACGGAATCACACGTTTTCCTCCCCCGGAAGCAAAGCCTCTTCCAGAAAGCCTCCCGTCTACTCACAAGAGTTCTGCCAGCTCGCCGACTTCTCCCACCAAGGCTAGGAGCAGGTTCCGAGGCTGGTGGAACTGCTCCCAGTCCCGTTCAGCAGCAAACTCTGCATGGAGGCGCCGGCTGGAATAAAATAGAGGCGTGGAGGTTCAAGTCTCAGGGTGAGAGGGTGAAGGACAAGCAGGGCCCGGGCAGGTACCCGCTCCCTCATACACGCAGATGGGGCACGGGACTAGCAATCTTGGTCAATTTCTTGGATGTCCTCAAGTTACTACCATTTAACAAGACTTTCTTATCATCTGGAAATGAACGCGCCCCTCTGCAGATTTTTAACCTGAAGCCAAGTTTATCAATACTATTATTTCATTTTTTGATGCTACTACGGCTGGTACCCCGCCTTCACGTCCCTATCGCTGGACGCCTAGGGTCTAGCTACTCTCAGAATGAAGTTTGGGGACATTTCCCCCTGGGGTCTTCCTTGGCATTCTGCAAGAAAAAGAAACAAATAAATAAATCTCTTTGCATTCCGGCCCTCCTGTTCAACTATCCATCACTCCTGGGGTGCACAGGTACTTATCAGACCTCCATCTATCTCCCCGAAGTTAAGTCCGGGGGCGTCCCCCGATTTCCCCGGCTTCGGGCGTGCCCCGCGCAGAGCCCCGCCGGGAGGGCCCAGTGGGTCCTGAGCTTGTTCTTCACGCGGACCACGTGGAGGACCCCTTCCCACTCCATCAAGAGGGTCGGCCCACCCGGGCTGGGCAAGGACGGCTTACATGTCCTCCAGCGTGGGCTCCGGGCTGAAGCTGAACGGACCGGCAGCAGCAGAGCCTTCCCGGCCCGCATCGCCGGGCGCACCGCCGCCAGCTCGGGCCATGCCGCCCACCGCTCCCAAACGCGCGCGAGCAAGCCCCGCGCCGGGTTCAGATCGCCTCCCGGCTCCCGACCAATCACGGCGTCGCGGGGCGCTCCCGGGGCGGAGCCAGAGGAGGACCCAATCAGCTAGGCGCATTGTCGCTACGGTCCGCCCCTTCTCCGGACTGGACCAATCTGAGGTCTCCCCTAGCGTGTTTCCCCGGTGCGTGTCCTCGAGTTCTTCCGCCCGGGCGAAACTTCTTAAAGGGAAAGGTGCCAGTTCGATCTGGGAAGAAGACTAGAGCAGAAAGCCTAATGCGCCCGACGTGTTTGCTTCATGGGCTCCAGATGGCGCCAAAGTGAAATGGCAGCGCGGAGGAGGCGGGTCTTCTGAGAGCAAAAACCCGACAAGGGGAGGGCCCAGCGCATGCGTCGTCCTTCGGTTGGGGACCCTGCTTAAGGCTCCAGACAGACCTCACACAATTTGAATGAGTCTGATGGGAAGGAATGCAGACGGCCAGACAGAGGAGGACCAGGCCTTGTATCCCATTTCAGTGCCCCACCCCAGCATATTCCAATGGTTAATTGGCAGCCACCAACCCATCTTGTCCTACAGGGAGAGGAAAGCATCCCTCCGCTCTACCCGCAGCATAGAACACAAGGCGCTGGAATCTGTGGCAAGTAGATAGGGTTCTGGCCCCCTCGCTCACCTTTCCAGCTCCATGGCTCACTATCGCACAGGACACAAGAGGACACCAAACCCGCTTCCACTAGCGAGTCCATGAAGGCTTGGCTTCTTTCTTTCTTTCTTTCTTTCTTTCTTTCTTTCTTTCTTTCTTTC